AATTTTGAACGTTTATAGGTGGTTTGTTTAGATCGAACCAGATCGTACAGTGAACCTTTTATGTAGTTTCATAGTTAACAATTTATATTTGACTTTAATGAAAGTTCAATAGGGGGAGAGTGTGGGAAAGTTTACATTATACTATTAGGACGCGCGGAGACCGGAAGAGGTCTCGGACTGAGACAAGAGAGGGAGGGCCGTGAAGAATAATACGAGAGCTAGTAAAACATTCGGAGTGAAAAACAAACTGTTATTTTGAGGACTTTCTGTAAGGGTTTTAGTAGATAAATAGATTTAAAACAAAAAGATTCTTCGAGTGTTATTTGTTGGGGATTCTTGAAGCCTTTCTCCGACATAATTACTGACAGGAGTAAACAAACTCAATGCTGCGTATATAATCAAAGAGAAAGCAAGAAAATAAGTTGACTTTATTCGGTTTTCGTTGTTCACACCTCATCAGCAACATATCCCGTAATATTGATGACTTTTAAACATAACTTAATGTCTTAATAAGTATTAAACTAAACAAAACAAAACAAAACCGCTTCAGCGTTTGGTTTATATAAATCGTGTTTAATATGAGCAAATATACTCGTATCACGATCTTTATTTGACTATAACGCTGTACGTTTATTGAAATCAACGATGTGTAAACAATGCATGTCGGTGAGAAATGTATGTTGAACCGAAGCAAATACTCGTCTATACAAAATGTACAAAGACTTAATTTGGTCCAAATTGTTTTGTGATGTATTGTCTTTCCCTAATTCATGCTATATCTCAAGCGAAATGTCAAAAATCTTATTTGCTCAACACTTTAGACCTTCGAGAACTAATTATAAATTTGTCACTCCACTCTCGTTCCACCAAAATAATAATTATTCCCACACATAATTACAATCAAAATCATTGACCAATCAGGTTGCAAAACAGATCAGCCGAAACCAGGGCCTTTTTCGCTGACCATCCAACCGCGGAAGCAAAAAGCCCTGGGTACGAGGTTGGTGGGTGGTAACCGTATGAGTCATGAATTTTACTGATGGAATTTTATAGGAATTTTACTTGTAAGTTGTGACGTTGTAACTGAAGATTTAAGGGCTTAAGTGATTTCGTGTGCTTGGAAAACGTGATTTACATCACGAAACAAGAGAAGGTATCGATTTATTATTTAAGCCCGTTTTTGGGCGAATTTGTTCGCGCGAAGCGAAAACCAAATTTCGGCAATGTGATTGGTCAGCGAAAAAATTCGCCGCGAAAAAGTTGGATCAGTTCCTACTCTTTTACTTGTCGCTTCGCGCGAACAAATTCGCCCAGTAGAAAACGTCATTCTAGTGACTGTCATTCTACTTCCTGTTAAAAATTTTGTTAAAACTCAGTGGTTCCCGTAATTTTTATTACCGATTACGTATGACGTCATTGACGTCAACGAATGTTTTCACGATTTCATGTTTGTCAATAGAGCCCCCCCCCCCGCTTCGGTAAATTTAGTTCTACAGCACGGTGCAAAGCCTTGCAAAGTCTCTATTGCACTATTCGTCGACTATTCGTACTATTCGTCGACTATTCGCGGACTATTCGCACTATTCGTCGACTATTCGCGGACTTGTTTGTGTGATGTTACTCTGAGTGTATATCCACACCGGGCAGGCTTGAAAATATGCCTCACACAAACATCTTATTCACCTGAGTACATTACACCAACACAGCAGATTACATTCGCGGACTATTCGTACTATTCGTCGACTATTCGCACTATTCGCACTATTCGCTTTACTATTCTAGTTTTATCAATTGCCCTTCAGGTAGTCTAGCTAGCAACTATTTGCCACGTTTATTGTAATACTACCACTTGCAAGTGATGAACCAGGCGGGAATCGTAATCGTAGTATAAAGATTAATGCTCAGCCGCATAACGTACGCAAAAGAGCCATATATATAGACAATAATATCACAGTTTAACGATATTCAGTTGTGTAACTCGCGGAATTTCCTGTCCCCCCAAAGGTTAATGCGCATGCGCAAAGCAAAAGACCGTGTCATGTGTTTTTTTTGTCTGGAAGCATATGGGAAAATACAAAATTTGGACACTAAAACAACGATTTCAAATAATATATCCATCAGGAATGCTGGACTTTCACAAATTTTGCAGGAAGGGATGTCATTCTAAATTTTCCACAAGAAAATGGCTTAAAGAATTTGTTGATATCGATAAAAAATGAAATTATATGACTCGAGGAGTGAGAAGTGCCATGGCCCATGACGTCCATGCTTCAAATGTGAATACGAAAAACAAAGACAAAGTTTCAGAAACTATAAAGCATGTACACTTAAAAGTACTACATTCTGGGAATAACGATGTATGTTTGAAAATATTGTTTGGTTTTTGGTCAACCCTGAGCCGGAAGCGTCGATGATGAAGTTTTTCGATTGTTCGAACGTCAAGAAACCTTGCCAGTTTCGGGTGAGTTTCTTTTACTGTTCGTGTTGTTTTTGGCATGGAAGTTGCAGAATAGTTTGGACTTAGGTTAGGGGGCTATATTTTAAACCAATGTAAAATTGATTTCTTTTATACTTTGTCTTTTTTAAGTTTAAAGCCGGTTCCTGCAGACACGAAGAACATAGACTGCGGAGATTTTAGCCACTACAAATCAATTTAACCACGAAGAGGAATTATGTTTTTAAATTTTTAAAAACAAATGACTTTACAACATTCTAAAAGGACAACTATATGGGAAAGGTTGTATGCTTGGTTTTCTTCAATATACAGTAAAACAAAATGAGTTTTTAGAATTTAATGTATAGAGAGTCTAATATTATAGTATCATATTATTTTTCAATCCTGTATAATCATATAATGATTTAGGTAGAATTACGTACTAAATAGTAAAATATATTAACGAATACTAAATGCCTATTAAGTAGGCTGGTCTGTTTTGTTGTGAAATTTATCTTACATTTGAAGTATTAAAAAATGATGTGCTCCATACAAATGTGTATTTAATGTGTATGAATATATACTTAGTTTTTGTGGCGTGTACATTTAGCTCTGTCGCCTATGCGGTATATGTACGAAAGGCTGCGAAAGTAAACAGAATACTTACATTTACAGTCATATTATTAAATAAAACTAAATATTATTAAAATGGATAAAAAGTCATTTAAAAAGAGTGAACATTGTACAGTACAATGGCGGAAAAACGGGATTGTTCAGCTAGAAAACGGAAAAGTGGGACGACTTGGTGCACGGCACCAAATTGTAAGAATAACAAAGAAAAAATCCAGATTTATCGTTTTTCCGCTTCCCAAAAGATATAAGCAGGTGAGACACGCTAAGGCTGTGAAGATACGCTAAACTGCAGTGCAGGTGATTTTTAATTATCTTGTACGAGAAGGTTTTTACACAATTTACTGTAGTAACATGCACATTTTTATCTGAATTCATACAATATAGATCCAAAAGATGGGCCGTAAACTGCAGAAGAAATGACTTAATAAAAAGGGACCCAGGATCTATATGCAATCTTAAAATATGTGGCGACCATTTCGAGGAAGAAATGTTTGCCAGCAAAAAAAGATTGAAAAGTGAAGCGTTTCCTACCCTTTTTAATATCCCAAATCCACCGCCAAAAGTTGGTGCAAAGCGAAGGCTACTTGTCCGGGAAGAGCCGCCAGAAAAACATAGTAAGGAAAATAAAGCAAACATGATTTAAATTTTTCACAAAAAACTTAACTAAACAAAAATTAGGCAAAATAATGTTCAAAGAGTAACAAAAACAATCTTTCGCTTTGTATTGTATCATCAAATACGGATTTAATATTAATTTTTACTGTAATGGCGACACACTGACTTTACAGAAAAATTAATTTGCACTATTTACAAACTACAGTAATATATACTTTGCGAATCATTGAATACTTTTACATTTGATTTCCTAGAAAAAAGGAAAATTGGCAAAGTAATTGACAAATCCAACGAACAACAGCTACGTAAAGGTGCTTGCAAAGTATATTCCAATGATCTTGAAATAACTGCATAAATTGAATATTTTTGTCAGCAGAAATGAAACCACATTAAAATTACTAACATAACCTGAGTTTTTAGATTGTGGATTAAAACCTGTACCTGCACAACAATTCATACATGAAGTTACAGACATAGACTATTTTGATACAGGTAATGAAGAAACACACTATAAATAAACTGCATGTAGTGATATTACTATGGCTGGGCAAGGCCAGGCATTTCAAGGACATACAGTACCTATTCGGTACCCCCCCCCCCTCTACTTACATATACTGTAATAGACAAGGGGTGGGGTGGGAGGGGGTAGGAATTAGGGGTGCACCGGAACCAATTTTTTAAGTTTCGGCCGGATCTGCTTGGAACTGGATTAATCATAAGCCACATATAGTCATATGTTACTTTGTCTGCTGCCAGACAGCCAGGCACTTCAACTGATCAAGGAGAGAGCTAGCAAATGTTAGAATAAAAAGACTGACAAACGTTAAACATCATAATGAAGTGTTAACGGTATATATTTTCCTTGTGTAGTCCAAATTTCTCTTTACTGCGAACTTTTGTTAGGCTGTTCGATATTCGAATGTTCGATATTCTATCTCTCTGAAAATAACAGAGTTCCAGTTCCGGCAATGTCTTTTTATTAGTTCCAGCCGGAACTGGAAATATGAAAAATCGGGGTTCTGACCGGAACTGAGTTCTGGACTGCGGTGCACCACCAGTAGGGATATATAGCACGTAGTAGCACTATATATGTTGAAGCCATGACTTTAGAACACCGTATTTGTAATGAAATCACTCTTTATTTTCACGTTTATTACAAATGTAGTTTTGTACAGTAAGTTGCTTTCACGAGGAAGTTCAACTAACAACACAACAATCCCATCATACATTTGTCTCTCAGTATTACGTCATACTAATATTTGGATAACATACAGTTTTATATTGAACTCAACACCCTCACTTGTTATCAGAATATAAACTAATTACCACAACCGAACACGATACTTTTAAAATTATCTAGTTTACATTTTGTGGGTGGCTTTGTTAGGATATCAGCTACCATATCTTGGGTAGGACAATATACAATATCGATCATGCCTTTAACATACATTTCACGTACAAAGTGGTACTTTATGTCAATATGCTTAGAACGTTGTCTGTTAACTGGGTTCTTACTTAGTGCAATTGCCCCTTGGTTATCAACACTTACCTTCATACTCTGATGTACTTTCTTATACATACCGTTTAACAATTGAGTTAGATACAAACACTCTTGAGCTGTATTTGCTAAAGCTACATATTCAGCTTCGCAAGTGGAAATGGCAACCGTTGGTTGCTTTCTCGACTTCCATGAAATCAGTGGTCCTCCTTCAGTTAGAGTACAACAGTAACCTGTAGTACTTCGCCTGTCTTCCAGGCAAGAGGCCCAATCTGAATCACTATAAGCAGTGAGCTGCAAGTCAGCATCAGATTTCTTAAAGCAGAGTTCATAATCCACGGTACCCTTTAGATACCTTAGGACATGTTTGGCAGCAATTAAATCTCCCGTTCTGGGGTTTGACAGAGTTTGAGACAGTCTGCTTACAATCCAACTTAAATCAGGCCTTGTACAGGTCATGGCATAAATTAGGCTTCCTATCATTTCTCTATACTGTCTGGCGTTGGTCAATTCACCACAGTTAAATTCTAATCGTTGCTCACATGGGGTTAACCTGGGCTTGCAGTCTATCATTCCAAATCTCTCTAGTATTTTAAGAATGAATCTTTTCTGATTAATTTTTATTTCACCCTTGCTTTGCTTAAAATCCATTCCAAGGAAGAAAGTGATTCTACCTAGATCTTTCATCTTAAATTGTGTCTTCATACTTTCTTTAAATTCTTCCATTAACTGCATACTATCTGAAGCTATGATTAGGTCATCAACCCAAACAATGACGATAACAATTTTATCATCAACTTGTTTCTTATATACACAGTGATCAGCATGGTTTCTGACAAAACCGTCATTTGCTAAATGCTCGTGTAACAATATGTTTCAATTTCTACCTGATTGTTTTAGACCATATAGCGATTTCTTTAGCCTATATACTAACCTCTCACCACTCTCTGAAACCTCTTCAAACCCTTGTGGCTGGTCTATGTATAACTCTTGAGTAATGGGGGCATGCAGATATGCAGTTTTAACGTCCATCTGGTGGCCAATAAGATCATGTTTTACTGCTAACTGCATTAAGACCCTAATTGAAGTAATACTGGCTGTCGGGGCGAAAGTTTCTTGATAATCTATACCCTTTACCTGGCTGTAACCCTTCGCTACATATCTGGCCTTAAAGGACTCTATGCCATTCTGGTCTTGTTTGGTTGTGTACACCCATTTCCCCCCTACTGAAGCTTTACCTTCTGGTAAAGTTGATAATTCGTAAGTATCATTTTCCTTCAGAGAGCTGATCTCTTCCTTCATTGCTTGCTCCCACTCCCTAGCTTGAGGTGATCCCATGGCTTCTGTGTAATTTTGTGGTAATCCACAAACTTTGTAGCAGTAATCTACACTAATGTGGGCACAATCGGCATTCTTAGGGAGGAGAGTGTCCTCTTCTAAGTATCTGGGAGGGTCCCTTTCTCTTTGAGGATACCGTTTTGTCTCACTGTCATTCTCAGTATGGTTGCAATGCCTTCCCTCACTATCCCTAGGCTCCTCATCAGGCACTGTATTTGGCGGCATTGCACTTAAAACAGGGAGGCTCATACTATCTAAGTCTGATCTAGTATCATGATCAGATTTCTCATGTACATCACAATCCCTGCTGGACTCATCAGTTTGTGTGTGCTGTTCTACACTACATTTCTTGATGAATCTAATGAGTCGATGTTTCATGATTTTCCCATTTTTTTTTGGGTAGTACACTAGGTAAGAAGGGCTATTTTTGTCGTATCCCACAAATACCCCCTTGCTGCATCTTGAGTCTAATTTCTTATGCTCCTGTTCGTAAGCAAAACATTCAGATCCAAAGATCCACATTTTAGAAAGATCGGGTACTTTCCCAGTAAGGCTAAAGTAG